GAAAAAGTGGATTTCGGCTAGGTGCGGCGGCTCATGCCTGTAATCCCAGGACTTTGGGACACCAAGGCAGGCAGATCACCTGAGGTCCAGAGTTCAAGACCAGCCTGGCCAATATAGTGAAACCCTGTCTCTACTAAAAATACAAAAATTAGCCAGGTATGGTAGCGTGTGCCCATAGTCCCAGCTACTTGGGAGGCTAAGGCAGGAGAATTGCTTGAACCCAGAAAGCAGAGACCACAGTCAGCTGAGATCATACCACTGCACTCCAGCCTGGGTGACAGAGTAAGACTCTGTCAGAAAGAAAGAGAAAGAGACAAAGGCAGAAAGAAAGAGAGAGATACAGAGAGAAGGAAGGGAGGGAGGGAGGGATGGAGGGAAGAAAGAGAAAGGAAAAGGGAGAAAGAGAAACAAAGAGAAGGAGGGAGGGAGGGAGGGAAGAGAGAGGAAAAGGGAGAAAGAGAAAAGAAGGAAAGAAAGAGAAAGGAAAGGAGGAAGGGAGGGAGGGAGGGAAGAGAGAGAGAGAGAGGGAAAGAAAGAAAAGAAGAAAAGAAAGAAGAAAGAGAGGAAAGGAGTGACGAAGGGAGGGAGGGAGGGAGAGAAATGCATGATTTTCTTCCATCTCTGCATGCAGTATGCCTAGATGTAGTATTAGTTTAACCCTATTATCAGAACTTTGCTGAATGCAGCAAAAAGACCAGTGCATGTCAATATTCAAATTCTCCTACCATTTCTCGGTGGTGTTTGCCCAAGTTTTCAAGATTTCAGTCTCTGTATCCTTCCTTCCAAAGTTCTAACTCCAGTAATAACGCAATTATTTGAAGGATCTCACTTCTTATGGCAAAATTATCACTTAGGGACTGCACTAATGAAAATTCATGAGGGACCCGGTGGTGAATCCAAAAGGTGTTTGCAGCAGGGATTGAAACTCATGTTCAGTTGTTTCCCTTGAGGCTAATAAACTTTCTAGATTGAAGAAGATACACAATAATTTTGCAGAATAAATAAACACAGAACTAGGCTGGGCTTGATGGCTCATCCCTGTAATCACACCACTTTGGGAGGGTGAAGCAGTAATGACTTGAAGCCAGGAGTTCAAGACCAGCCTGGGCAAGAGAGCAAGAACCTGTCTCAAAAAAAAATTAATTAATTAAAATTAAAAACAAACTTTTAGGAAGTCCACTTCCTTCACACTGTCATGTCTTCATTGAATCTTCTCGTGAAAGGAAAATGGGAAATATGAAAGAACCAGAAATATACTAGTTGATGAACAAGTTCTGTAGTGATAATTCTCAAAGGAAAAAAGTAGCTAGATTTGGAAGGGTGGGTGTGATTGCTAGATGTAACACCTGGCGACCCTAATTAAATCCCATCTCATTAAGTGATTTACAAGTCCTTTTTCCCGTTAGTTTCTCCTCTGTGATATGGAACCTGGATGTCCTGCGTAGGTAATATTTTGGCAAACACCCATGCATTGATGACTCTTTGTACTCCAAGAGCAAACTTCAATTACTTGCAATTTTTACAAGCTTGGCTTATACAAATGTTATGAAAAATAAGGGACAGCAATTATTAAACTACTTCACAGATTCACCTTAACACTTAAAGAGTACTTGGCATGTGGCAAAACATGTCCTTTGTGTTGTGGAAACTATGGTGAACATTCCTGCTTTAACAGCAAAATAGAGATTGATCAAATAATCAACAGTGCAACTATGTTGGGTTTTTTTGGTT